GAGCTAAGGGAAGGTTTGGTCTGGGCTTATTAGTGAATAAGCTTTTTTTTTACAAGTTCATTGTAAATTCTATTTGAACTCAATCATGTTCTCATTTTTATGACTTAGGACTTTTTTTGTCATTTTAGCTTTGAGCTTTAATCTCCCTAATAGACTAGGTCCTTTATTTTTTTTCAAAATTTAGACAGCACCTCGGTGTCGTCCCTTCATAGGGCGATGCATCTGGGTGTATTAAGCATTCCCACCACTCCAAGAAAGATGTACATGATTAGTGTCGGGTGACACTTGTTGACCCGTAAGCTGTAACAAAAAAAAGAAAAAAAAATCAAAATCAAATCTTACCTGTTCTGCCAACCCACGTCGCTCCCCACGTCGTCGCAGCTCTTCGCACGACCAAGCCACACTGAGCGTCATTTCTCCCCACGTCGCCCACACGACTCACTTAGAGTCGTTAAAAAGCCACGGATGCGAGTATATATATACCGCCTCGAAAGATGGAGATAAAATCTCCTAACGTGTTCAAATTCAGAATTATAGATTTTCTCTTAACTATCGTAGTGTGATTTAAAGGAGAACCGCATATGACTCCGGGAGGGTCAAAATGGGGTTCAATCTAAAATTGAACCGATAATTAGGAGAAAAAGATCATTAATTTCATATTCAAATTGATGCTAACACACGATAAATCTCTTTGAAGAAAGATAATATCATCCGTTAGTCATCATATGATTATGGTGATAACGATCATTATGAAGTAGATTTCTCAAAAGAAATATCAAGTGAGTTTTGAAAATCAGGTGTGTGTGTGGTTCTAAATATCCTGCGAGCGCAAGCCCTCGTGGTTAATTACATCATAGGAAGACAAAGTCTCCTACGAAAACTCTCGATTAAAATAGTGGCGAAATTTTGTTAAAGACTATCTAGGAGTGATACAAAAGGAGATAAATTTAGGAATTTCAAAAAGGAATGTGTCAAAATTGAGTACTTATTAACGGAATCAAAGGAAGAAAAGTAGGAGACACTTTAAGATTCCGGAACCATCCGGAAGTGTCCCAACTTAATCTAAATGTTGGGTTTTACATTTTAGATTGAAAGAAGAATTAGTTAAAATTGAATGTTTTGTTAGAAATTTGGGATTATATTCCCGGAGGTTGGGGTCTTATAATCAAAGATCTACCCTAGATCCTAAATCTAAATTTGGACACTGAAGCACAGTGGTCCGAACCTAACTAATGCAATACAGAGTCTAGACTTACCCCGGCCTGGATTGGGAAGCCAGCTAACCACCTAGTTGATTTTAAATATATGAGTCCAGTCATTTTTATGATAGAGTGGTAGGGACATTTTCATTAAAGTTTTGGAGAGCTGAGGTCGACATCTAGAGATTGTCCTAAGTGACCACTTTGACTTATGCTGGGTGAAAATACTAAGGACAAATGTAATTAAAAATTAGACTCCTTTAAATGTGTTTCTAAAGCAATGCATGCTAGTCGACACATCCAAATCATGTATGCTTGAAATTTTTGAAAAAGACTTAAAAATAATTTTTTAGAAGACTGGGCTTCCCCAGGTCTGGCACCTCATCCTCATATGTCAGATTATCCAGACTCTACCCGCAGACGGGAAAGTGTCTAAAGCAAGGATAGAAGAAATGCATAAATATGCATGCTACCCCGAGGCGATCAGACTCAACCCCGACACTAATATTGACTAAACTTCTAAAGACAACGATATTATTGACATTTTAGTCAACTATGAGTTACATGTCTTTGGGTAAATCTATATATATCACTAGTTTACTTGTCTTTTTTAATGTTATTTATGTCATATTTATATCTTGAATTTTTTTATATTAAAGTCCCTTAAAAAGGGTAGTATAATCATTGCTTTCCTAAGTTATTATTATTTATAACTTAATTCATTTTCATCATGATTTTCATCAAGATAGATTAACTCCATGATTTTCATCAGGAATTCCTCCCTCTTGTGCGTAAAGCAGACTCTCTCTCAAAGGTAATCAACATAAATTGAGTAATTCATTAATTAGGTAAAATGATTCAACCTTTATCTCTCTTTTTGATGCGGACATCCGACGATGGACGTTAATCAAAGGAAGAGACGAAGATTGACAGCTGAGATCCCTCCATTTTATCTTAGTTTATTAATTGTATTTTTTATTTAATTATGCATTTTTCATTTTAACCCTTACTTAAGGGTCTTGTTTTATGTAAGCCCAAGAGGTAAAGTAGTCTTTTAGTTTCTTTTAAGGCCTATATATAGAGGCCCTTGCTCTTGTATTAGACAATGATGGATTAATAAAAAAAATTATTTCTACACTTTGTTCTTAAGAGCTATGAGAGTTCTTAGGAGCTAAATATAAATCAATAGGTTTCACAAGAAGCTAAAGATATTGTGAGTTTGTGTTTTTTTCTTTCATGTGATTAGCTTTCTTCTTGTATTTTATCCTTTTATTTTAATGAGAACCAATAGATCAAAAGGCTTCTAGAAGCTTCCAAGATATATTGCATCATCAATTTTTTCTATTAAAAAACCAAGATTTATTACCCACATTTTAATTGTAAGAAGATATCTACTATTCCAAAATGTTTTAATGATGTGTTGCATCATCATTCTTCCAACCAATAGAAAGAAACACCACCATTACTCTTCAAAAGAAGAGTACTTCGAATCTGAGGAAATTATGAAGACAAATAAGGAAATATTTAAAATTATGTTATTTACTTTCATATAGCTTCTTCAGAAAGATTTAATCACCCCGATTAGCAAGCCTTGAAAGAGATATTTACTTTTTATTCGCCTTCAAATCATATACGAGTTAGATGTCATTTAGCTCATTTTCACTTAATATTTTATTAATTATGACATTGTAGTATTGCTTATGCCATTTTCTATTTATTCCATCCTTAATAGTGTATATGTGCATTAAATGATATTGTATTTTTCGTCGGCCGCGTCTCTGATAAACTCTCCATGATGATCTGATGTCCCCATCAAGTGTATATGTGCATTAAATGGTATTGTATTTTTCAGGTTATTATAAATAATCTTCTGCCCTCGAGAATACATTAATGGAATGAAGAAAATTATGCTTATTATTGCATTTTTATTTAGGAGTCCTCTCTTCTCAGCGTGAAGAGGAGGTTTCATTATGACAAGCAGTACATCTTCAATAAATTCAGTGATCAAGTTGTGTAACTCAACCTTTGCTATCTTACCAAACACCGACCCCCCAAACTCCTAATTCCTTTAGAAAGTTCAAGCCTAGCCTAATCACTTAATCTTTTACTGCAAACCACAAAAGTATCCTTTGGGAGAATTTTTAAAAAAAAAAAAAAAACTTACCTGCACCATGCACAGTCGAGCTTCATGTTACATGAAGTTCTGCATTTAGGGTGATTCGATGAATAGGTTGCATGTTGAACATTTATCTCTCTTTTATTTACACTCCTTCCATGTACCTAACATCTTCACCTTCTCAATTCCTTTCAAGGCTTGTGACCAAGCCTACTCCTCTCTACCAATCCAAACTGTTGAAGAAATATTCAATCCAAACTGTTGAAGAAATATTCAATGAAACGTATTCTCCTCCTTAACACGTTGCCCATGTCAACTATCTGCAACTATACACAACAACAACAAGACCTTATCCCACTACATGGGGACGGCTACATGAATCATTTTTTCTCCATTGTGTCATGTTAAGAGTGAAATTCTCATTTAAATCTAAAAAAGAAATATTATTTCTAATAATTTCAAATCAAGACTTTTTCGGTCTACCTCTATCTTTCTTAACATAAGCCAAATTTAATACATCTACTTTCCTAACCGGGTCATCGAAAGGCTACCATTTTATGTGACCAAACCATCTAAGGCGACTCTCTCTAATCTTATCTTCCACTGGAGCTACTCCAACATTTTCATGTATACATTTCGTATCTTGCCTCTAAGAGTAAAGCCACTCATCTACTTGAACTCCTCATCACTGCAACACTTAACTTAATATTATGCTTGTCTTTTAATGGCCAACATTCTACACCACAAAGCATTGCAGGTCTCACCACCATCTTATAGAATTTTCCCTTAAGATTGAGGGGGGCTTTTTCTATCGCACAACAAGCTTGACGCATTCCTCCACTTCAACCATCCAACTTGAATTATGCTAATAATATCCCCATCTGTTTCACCATCACTCTGAACAATAGATCCAATATATCTAAATCGTGTACTCTTATTAATGACTTAATCGCCCAAAGTCAATAACCCTCCAGTAAATCTATGAATACTAAAATTTCACTCCATAAATTCAGTTTTAAATCTACTCAAATGAAACCTTTAGACTCTAAGGTTGACCTCCATAATTTAAGTTTACCTTCAACTCCCTCTCTATTCTTATCATATGCAACTATGCAAGTAAAAGACTATAAGACCCACATTTCTACTAATTCAAATAAAGGGAACAACCCTTTTGGATTTTCAACTCTAAGCTTCCAACATACCCCTACCTAATCTCTCGTTCATCCATCATGTTGTACAATGGTTAATCCTTCCCACCCTTGAACAAATCAATCCTTCCCAACAGCAATTTTCCAACCCAAACAACTACCATATTTTCACGTGTTTATGCACAATCTTAACTTGTATCGTCCTTCGCACGGACTTGGGGATGCTTTCTTAGTGACAAAAGTGAATGCATATAAGTGTTGTACCTCAAGATGTTTACAAAAGAAAAACATTAGTATTATTACCAGCTCATAGTAACTGCATCACTCATCTACTAAATGGAACAAATATATTAGCAAATCAAGAGAAATTTAACAGCTGGAATGTAAACAATATGATATATATCCAGAACGTAAAGTAGAAAAAGAAATTTTTAAAAAAATACTGTGAACTTCAACCATAAATGGCATATTTCAAAGATTGATGTAAAAGTTCGGATGAAAGCATGTTAATATTTATAAATTTATGCAAAGTATTACATGGTAGCCTCCTTATATTTGTGGGCCTGATAGCTTCATGGGCCTCTTGCGCATTCTTCACTTTCTTGAAGTACTTTCGTATACCCTTCGAAGCAAATTTCCCACCATACCTATTTAGAGATACAATTAGGATTTTAATGAAAGTAAAATGAAATTGCGGTGAACAGAAACAAAAGCGTTGCTAGCACGACAGAAATACGGTTTTCCAGGTGATGCAAGACAATCAAGACTTTAAGCTTTTCCTAAGATCTAAAGCTCTGAAATGACGAGCACTGCAAAATAAGATAAAATTTGTAATATTAACAAAATCCCTAATCTAGATACAACCAATCTTATGTAAAACCTTTGTGAAGTAAACACAAGAATATTTGAATGGAAACAAATAGTATCACAAACAATTATTCAGTTCCATAAATGTTTCATTGAAAGCATTAAACTCAACTCTTTGTGAACCAATAACACATATTGTTGAATCACGTAGCTAAGGGGAGGCCATGTCAGCAATCCGTGGGCAGCAATCCATAGGCAACAATCTGAGGGCTGCAGTTGGAGATCCGTGGGCAGCAACCTGAGGGCTACAGTTGGATATCTGTGGACAGCAATCCGAGGGCTGCAGTTGGAGATCTATGGGCAGTAATCTGAGGGCTGCAGTTAGAGATCCGTGCGATATGATTATTATAATTAATTAGATTAAATGTCTTTCAATTTTCTATTTATTCTCCTAGAATGTATATATACATATAATGATTTCAAGGAATAGAATAGATTTTGAATTTGAATTTCCCTCTAAACAATTTCCCTCCTATAATGTTTATTCTCTAAGTCCCGGTGGCAAACCTTCCTCCCTTTCTTCCAAACCCTCAACTAGCAGTAACTCTCCATCATCCTGCCAATAGCCTCTCTTCAAGCATCGGTAGCCCTTGCCCAAAATTCATCTCTATTTCAACCAAGCAAACCCAACCAATGCCATGGATAGCGAGATCTCATCCTCTTACCCAAATATTATCGGTTTGAACACCAAAAACTCTAGATCTGCAGAGAACTCTTCTCCTATCCTAGACCATGGTGTGATCACTGTGACAAACCAAGACATACAAAGGAGACATGTTGGAAGATTCATGGAAAATCAGCTGATTGGAAGGCAAACAAATTAGCACAAGAAAGCAAGGTGAACTCTATCAACACCATGCAAAATCAACCCATCAAAGCTGAAGTCATTCCTTTCACCAAGGAGCATGTAGAGATGATGAAGTTGTTGCTTAACAACATCACAAACCAACAGTCTCCATAACCTGCTACTAGCCTACACGCTCACTCAGGTATAAAACAATCAAAACTTTAGGTTATTGACTCAAGAGCATCAGATCATATGACAGGAGACATTACACTCCTTCATGACTATCAAACTTATCATTCAAATTGAGTAGTTAAGATTGTTGATGGCTCAACATCCAAAGTTTTAGGAAATGGTTATGCTTTTATCGCAAAAGCTATCACCCTTAAATCGGTGCTTTATGTGCCCAATCTTGGTGCAATCTAATTTCCATTAATAAATTGACTCGTGATAGTAATTGCTTAACAAGTTTCTCCAATAATGTATGTATTTTTTAGGAACTGGATTCGGAGAAGAAGATTTGTAGTGCTGAGACGTGTTCTAGATAATATTACATTAAGACACCCAAATCCATACAAACTTTAATTGCTGCTCCTAAGAATCCTCCTCCTAAATATCATCATATTGTAAGTCAATTTGTTGAGAATTATTCTAGAATCAGTAAAGATAGAGAGATTACATGTGGCACTATAGGTTAGGTTATCCAAATTTCATGTACCTTGAAAACTTTTTCCCCATTTAATTATCAATAAAAATTCAAAGTTGATCAAATGTAAAACTTGCCAATTGGCTAAACATAAAATATCATCTTACCCAATTGTTCCTTCCCAACCTTCTAAACCCTTTACCTTGATTCATAATGATATTTGGGGATCCTCAAAGGTTAAAAATATAAGTGGAGCATGGCGGTTTGTGATATTTGTTGATGATCATATTACACTCACTTGGGTTTATTTAATGAAGGAAAAATCTGAAGTTGAAAGGATATTCAAATCATTTCAACTGATGATTCAAAATCAATTTGATACAAAAATTCAAATCTTAATATCAGATAATGGGAGAGAGTACTTCCATTCTATCATGAGAGAATACCTATCAAGCAAAGGGATAATCCAAGTGAGTTCATGTGCTAAAAGTTGAAACACCTAAACAAACTCTACTCAAAGTCTATCCTCATGCTCGGTTCATATCATCAAACCTTCCACCTAAAATTTTGGGTGCTCTGCCATTGTTCATATCTATCCACAAGATAGAAGCGTGCTTGACCCAAGATTAAAAAAATGTGTCTTTATTGGTTATTCCCCAATAAAAAGATATTACAAATGCTTTTGCCCTATTTCTAGGAAAGTATTTGAAACCATGGATGTCACCTTATTTGAAAACAACTCATACTTCACTAGTTTTGAAATTCATGGGGAGAATGAAGGAGAATTTCAAACTTGGGAGTAGAATTCCTTATTATACAACCAAACAGAGCCCAATCAAAATCAAAAAATATCACAAGAAATCCAAACCACGAGTATTTCCCAAGAAATATCTCCTATATCTTAAACTTCACCTTCAGATTACATCCACCCATAAGTCCTAATCAACCCCTGCAAAGAGTAACAATTAAGGAACAACAAAATGTATACTCAAGATAAAGAAAGAAAAATCAGTATATGCCGAGTAGTGAGACACATCTTGCACCTGTCAACTTTACTTCAATGGATCCAGAAACTGCAGAAATTCATATAGAGGAGAAAAATGAGGAAGTTCAAAAAGAGATAGAGTCATCAAATGGCCAGAAAGAATCATGCACCAAGCATCCAATCGAAAATTTTCTCTCCTATAGCAGATTATCAGACACTTATCAAGTCTTCCTTTCCAAGTTGGATAATGTACAGATTCCGACCAATATTCATGAAGCTTTGAATCACCCAGGATGGAGACAGACTGTTAAAGAAGAAATTATGGCCTTGAAAAAAAAAATCAAACATGGGTGATTACGAATCTCCCACCAGGAAAGAAAGTTGTGACTTGCAAATGGATGTTCATTATAAAGCATAAGGTGGATGGTAGTATTGAGAGGCTGAAAGCTAGACTGGTTGCAAGAAGATTCACTCGTTCTTATGAAATAGACTATCAGGAAACTTTCGCTCCTATTGCAAAGTTTAACACCATCAGAATTCTTCTTTCCTTAGCAGCAAATTTAGATTGACCCAACATCAACTAGATATCAAGAATGCATTCTTGAATAGGAACCTCAAAGAAGTCTACATGTAGATTCCAATGGGGATTCAGAAGTCTTATGGAAGAGATAAAGTATGTAAACTGCTAAAATTCTTGTATGGATTAAATCAATCTCTAAGAATATGGTTTAGAAGATTCTCAAAGTATGTAAAAGACCATGGTTTTAAACATTGTCAGGTAGATCATACCTTATTTGTGAAGCAATCGGAAAGAGACGAGGTAGCAATACTGATTGTATATGTGGATGACATCATCTTTACTGGAAATGACAGAGAAAATAATAAAGCTCAAGCAGGCTTTGTCCAAGGGAGTTTTAAGTTAAAGATCTAAGATCACTTAGATACTTCCTTGCTAGGGAGGTAGCTCGATCAAGCAAAAGTATATTTATTTCCCAATGCAAGTATACCTTAGACCTACTGAAGGAGACCAGCATGCTCGGATGAAGACCAGCCAGTACACCTATGGATCCTAAGAACTTGGGATAGAAAAAGAGGGAGTTCCAGTGGATGAAGGAAGATATCAACGTCTTGTAGGAAATATTATATACCTCTTCCACACCCTTCTAGATATTGGGCTTGCTATGAGTATGGTAAGCAAATATATGAGTAATCCTATGAAGGAGCACATGGAGGTAGTATATCAAATCTTGAGATATCTCAAGAACACTTCTGGAATTGGGCTATTATTCAAGAAAAATGAAGATAGGAAATTGATCCTTTATTATGAAGCAGATTGGGCAAGAAGCCAGGTTGATAGTCGATCAACTATAAGATATTATTCATTTGTGTGGGGGAACCTAGTGATATGGAGGAGATAAAAACAATCTGTTGTTTCCATAAGCAGTGCAAAATCTGAACAGAGAGCATTAGCAGTTACTATTTGTGAAGGCATTTGGATCAGACAAGTATTGATTGAACTAAGAATAAAGATTGAAGGCACGATAAAGTTGAAATGTGACAATTAAGCCGCAATCAGTATGGCCAAGGATCCAGTACATCACGACAGAACAAAACATGTTACAACTGATAGACGCTTCATATCTGAAAAAATAGAGAACTTAAAAATTGAAGTAGTATATACCCCAACTCATGAACAACTTGTTGATATTCTAACAAAGACACTACCGGGCTCTCTACTTAATAAATTTATTTGCAAGTTAGGATTGTAAAACCAGAACAACCCAAGTAAAGGGGGAGTGTTGATAACGTAGCTAAAGGGAGGCCACATCAGCAATCAGTGAGTAGCAATCTGAGGCTTGTAGTTGGTGATCCGTGGACAGCGCGTAGAAGATCCGTGGGCAGTAATCCGATGGTTGTTGTTGAAGATCCGAGGGATGTTGTTGAAGATCCGTGGGCAGTAATCCGAGAACTACATTTGGAGATTCGTGGGATGTGATTATTATAATTAGATTAAATGTCTTTCATTTTTATGTTTATTCTCCTAGAATGTATATATATGTAATGATTACAAGGAATAGAATAGAATTTAAATTTTCCTTTAAATAATTTCTTCACATATTCTGCACAAAACACACCACGAGGAATCAAATTCATCTCATAAATCATGATATCCTCTATTATTTGGGTTATAAATTTTGGTAAGCCTCTGAAGATTGATGCTGCAACAGCCATGCAACCTCATCCTTTCACTGCAAAAGTTTTTGAAGAGACGCAAATATATGATGCTCTCAATGGCATATTTCTCATCCAAAAAAAATTGCAAAATGTTTGAAAAGCAAAGCATTAGAAAAGACATTGCTCAATGGAACCCAAATAGAAAAACAGGAACAGAACCCCTAACACTAGAATCTTTCCTCTTCATAAAAATGTATTTATACATTAGTCAGGCTCCCTAAAACTCAGAATGTTTAATAAGTGGCGCCCTCAAAGAAGTTCTGGAACTTAAAGCTAGTTTTTTAATCAAAACATAAATACAAGTAATAGACTGGAAGGACCTAGGCAGGATACAGCTACACTAAGCACTGTAGAAATTATTATAATTAGGAACTCGATACAGTTATTATTGACATCAAACTCACCTTTCTCTAACGAAGGAATTAATGTCCACTGCAGCTTCATTTGATATCTAATAAACGCTTGACAATATTAGAACAAAAATAAAAATCATAACATGGAAAGGCATGTGTATTAGAAATATGATGCAACTTTTCTTATATTTAAAGTAAAATATTACAAGGTATGTTTCTTAAAAAAAACTAAAAAAGGTTCAAAGAATTGACAAACAAAAATGGTCTAAATGCAATATTAAAGAAGAATAAAGGAATTGTATACAAAATAAAAGAAGAGAAATATTGCAAACGTAGAACATGCTATACAAAAAATATGCACACATCTAGCCCACCAGAGCTAGTGTTGGAAGATTTTCATACATATCAATTATTTTTGGAACTACCTTAATTTCCTCCTACTGATATTATTCTGTCTTTTTTTTTCATTTTTGCTAACTAACGCATATAGATGCTTTTTCATGTATTTTGAAGGACCTAAGGCTTGTACAATTTGTTGAATAATAGGAAAAGTGATTCTCCATTCTCAAAAATTCTGCATTTATGGTATTAGAGCGAAAAATAGTATCATAGGGTACGTATCCACCTTCTCTTTCTTGTTTGTATTTTCTTATGCCTTCTTATTCCCATGGATGAGACATGTGTGCCATTATCGCAGCCTCAACTAGAACCCCACCAAGTTCGGAACCCTTACGAGAACCACCCTATTCAAATCATTGACATCAAATTGAATGGCAGCAACTTTGATTGATGGTTGCAATCGATGTGGATGCAAATCAGGGAGAGAGGAAAGATCCGCTAATTGGCTACATTATATGTGATACCAAGAAGCCTGACGTGAAGGATCCATCCTATGCCTTCTGATATGTGAAAAACTCCATGGTAATTACATGGCTGATCAATTACATGATCGAAGAGATAAGTGCCAAGTATATGAGTTAACTTACAAATTTGGGAGATTCGCCAAGGTGGTGATTATGTAACAAGGTATTTCAGTCCCCTTAAAAGAATTTGGTAGGATGATTACGAAAGGAAATCACCTCAGAACTGTAACTATTATGAAAATATGGTTAATGTTGGAAACACTTAAAGTTTCTTATAGGCTTACACATTAAATATGACAAAGTTTGCGGTCACATTATTTGGACGAATCCTTTATCTCCAATCACTGGAGCATTCACATAAGTGCAGCGAGAAGAAAATCGCAAACAGGAGATACTTGGAAAGGCGACCAGATGTACTACCAAATATATTGAAGCACAAGTTAGTCGTAGGACATCCCAAAATCAGAGTATAGAAGACAAAAACAATCTACGAAACTTTGTCTTCCATGGATGAAATTTGATCCTCCACCATGGCTTTTATTTGGCTCATCTCTCCTTAAAAACGTTCTTCCAATGCATCTACCTTCTTGGCCGCTATCAAAATTTCTGGATTTGAATCCAAAAATCAACAAGGGTTCCCTCCTGATGAAATTTCGCCGCTGAACTTTACAAAAAATCAACCCCTGATGGTCCCAAAACTTGCTCTGATACCAATTTGAAAAATCCACACAAAACCATGAAATAGTAGATAATTTGTATTATTTGATGAAAGGGAAACTGAAAATACCAAGATACAATTGATCCTCTATTCAAGAAGAGGGTCTTTCTCTCCCAAATCTCTAGACGCCGTTAGAGCCCAAAGAAACTAAGATATCACAAATGTCAGCCAAATTCAAGATTCTCTAACCCTAGGAAAATAAATTATTTAATGCATACAATCCAAAAGGAAATTCCAAAACAGTCCCTACATTCAAATTTCTCTCCTAACTCCCTCAAATATCCTTCCTAAACTGCTCTCCCGGCCTGGGCGGTGCGATCGGCACATACAGGAGAAGCGGAACACTTCCGCCTCTATTACGCATGAGCCGGTCCATATATGGATAGGATGGACCAGTCCACTGCCGGTCTAACAATACCCTTGTTTAATTCTGATAAGCAATTCTTAAACATAAATAAAAAGGTAAAACTAATGTAAGTGCTAGAAATATACCTTTGCCAGATATTGCTAAACTGAAGGCAAGGCAAGAAGTAACCACTAATGGATTACAATCCTTAGTTAGAAATTCAAATTTATGCCAAATGAATGTTTGTCAAAGAATTCATCGTTTCAGTTATTTTTCAAGCAGACATCCAATCTGATTTGCCAAATGATGGTTCGTCATCTCAAAGTAAGATTTCTTCCACACCTATTTTATCTTCTCATATATCATACTCTAATCTTGATCTACCCAGTGCTTTGAGAAAATAAATCTGAACTTGAACCAAACATCCCATAGTAAAATATCTCTCCTATGAAAAATTGTCAAAACCTCAGAGGGCATTTGTGTTTAGAAATCTAATTTGTTTGTGCCAAACGTTATTCAAGAAGCATTAGGTGATTCAAATAGAAAATCATCAGTGATGGAAGAAATAGATGCTCTCAAAACGAACAAAACATGGAGTATTATTGATCTACCAAAAGAAAAGAAAACAATAGGGTGCAAATGAGTATTTATGGTAAAGTGCAAAATAATGGCAGTGTGGAGAGATATAAAGCGAGATTTATAGTAAAAGAATTTACTCAAACACATGATATAGGCTGTTAAGAGATATTTGCTCATGTGGCAAAAATTAACTCTATTAGAATTCTCCTTTCTCTTGCTATTAACTCCAACTGGACGGTTCCTCAATTTGATGTTAAGAACTTCTTTCTTAATGGAGATTTGCAAGCAGAGCTATATATGAATCTTCCACTTGGATTAAAAGAAAGCCTTGGAAAAGAGAACGTGTGCAGGTTATAGAAAACCCTGTATGTTCAAAAACAATCTCCAAGGGCTTTGATGAGGACATCGGAAGACCAACGGCTACGATTTGGAGTTTATTTTATTTTTGATGTGTCTTATGTACTAGTTTATTTTATATTCATGTTTTTCCTATTTTACCCCTAGAGGTGGTCATGTGGTGTTGTAGCCCGAAAGGCGTTTTAGTCTTTGTTTCTTTTCTTGTCATGAGACATATTTATAGGCGAGCACTCTTGTAATTTAGGATAATGATTGATTAATGAAAATTCAGATTTCTCTGTCTCCCTCAATATTGAGTGTTTGAGAGAAGAAGGAAGACCCAAGGTGTGGGCAATCGCAATACCCGTCAACCTTTGGAAGGGTTCAAGGTTCGCGGCTCTACTTTTTTTTCCTCGCATCTCCTCCGACCTCTTCCCCTTTTCCCAACACCCCAAAACCCACCGGCCTGCACCCCCCTAAACCGAACCATTGCTTCCCCCAACCCGCCGGCTGCCTTGGCCTAACCAGCCGCCAGCCGCCCCTCCAAAAGCCACCGTCACCACCACGGCCCGTCCCATCTCCACCCCCATGCCGCTGGCCACCTCTCCCTCTCCCTCTCCCATGGAATCATGAAATTTAAATCCCAAAGCCCACAAATACCTTCCTAAAATAACTACCCTCAATTAGGAAAGGGTATTTAATTGAATTCAATTCATATTTTTGAATTTCAAATATCTCCCTCCCTAATTTAATCAAATCTGAATTTAAATTCAGATTTGATTTATTCCAATTAGCTAAATCCCTTGGGCCCACATATCTTAATTAGCTCCCATATGGCCGGCCCTCCCTCTCTCTCTCCACTTTCATTAAATGCTCCCAATTAAGACTCCTTAATCACCTCCCCATGCCGCCTCCCCTCTCCCCCAATTTCTCTCTTCCACTTTAATTCTCTCAATTTGAATTTGAATCCAAATTCAAATTCATCCCGCCAATTTAACTTAATCTGAATTTAACTACACGTGCCCCCTAAGCAAGTAATTAAATTCTAACATTATTCCCACAGCTGTCCACAAAACTCCCCACCACATTTCCCCAACTTTTGTGCATCCAGAAGGTGGCAAATCCTGAATTTCTCCTCTCCAACTTGCTGTCCAGAATTCTGGACAAGTTCTAAGTGCTGCCATGAAACTCAGAACATAGGAAGCTGCTGTCCAGAAGAACTACAGCAACAGGAACAGCAGTTCTGTTGTTCCCAAGTCCTCCAGCAGCTGTCCCAAGTCGCTGAACAGGATCCGGGTCGCTGTCCAGATTAAATTCAGCTAAAGGAGGTGACTGTCATAACCGAAAAGACCTTCTAGTTGCTCCCCCCAAAGCCCCAAACCAGGATTCGGTGAACTCTTTCCCTCACTCTTTTATTTTCCTAGTTACATCCTTGCTTGTGGTTATTATTATAGTCATGAAGATAATGTTATACTTCTCCGCTAACGCCTAGAAATTGGAAGAGTTGATTGAGGGATCTTCTTGTGGAGACTAATCTTATTGTTAGCATTGGATTTATTGTTGAAACCATTCATGTATGTAACGTTATATTAAATTGATTGTCTTACGATCTTAACCTCTATGCATATGATTTAGCCTAAACTTGTCTTACCGCTCTTTGTGTTTTCTTTTGTTTTTCAAAATTAATATAAAGATATAATTATTGTTGTTTCTAAAATTAAGTGTGCAAACTCCCTAAGTTAATCATCCTTGCATGTACGTTTCACATCAGGCTTAGTTTGAATGTTTTTGAGATGTTGTTAGAAGACAAGGTATTTCACAACGTCAATCCAGCCACTATTCTTTAAACATTCTATTGGAGGTAGAATAGATATCTTAATTGTTTAGGTCATGACACAATCATAACCGAAGATGACTACATTGAGAAAAAAACTAAGAAGATGGAGATCAAATTTTATATAAAGAAGCTAAGAAAGCTGAAGTATTGCCTTGGGATGGGGTTTGCCGGATCCAAAAAAGGATTTTTTTTATTAATCAATGGAACTACATTCAAGATTTTCTCCGAGAAATTGGATGATTAGTTGTACACCTACAAATACTCGAATCAAACCGAATGTAAAGCTTAATGCACTTGCTGCAAATATGATGGTAGAGTGTGAATGCTATTAAAGCTATGTTGGAAGATAGATCTACTTGGCGCATACGAGACCAGTTATGGCATTTGATGTGAGTGTTGTGAGGCAATTCGTGCATTCATCGAGACCTACTCAAAATAAAGCTGTGTTCAAAATTTTAGCATACCTTCAAGGGATCTCAGGAAAAAGACTATTATCTAAAAATAGAGTCCATCTCCTAATTAAAACTAATATAAATGCATATTGGCAAGAGATATCAATGACATAAAATCTACCTTTGAATATTGCACATTTATAGGAGGAAATCTAATTAAGTGGAGGACTAAAAAACAAAGTGTTGAAATCCGATCCATTGAAGTATTATAGATTAAAAGGCTTAAGAACTAAAAAATCCATCAACACCAATCAAAGCTTATCGAGCCACAATCCAACTTAACATGACAAAAACAAGCATGTAGAGGTGAATAAGCATTTCATCAAAGAAAAAATTGATAATGGTGTAACATGCATGATTTATATACTTACTAACATTACATTTAAACTGCAGACATATTCATTAAAAGGCTTCCTAAAATGCAGTATGAGCTTCTTATTGGCAAACTTTCCATGTGTGACATCTTCATACCATCTTAAGGAGTATTGGAAGATTTTCATAGATATCAATTATTACTGGACCCACCTTAATTTCCACCTACTGTTTTTTTTTTCCGTCTATATATTGGACCTAAGGTTTGTACAATTTGTCAAATAATAAGAAAAGCAATTCCCTACTCTCACAATTTCTGCCTTTAGCTAGTGATAAAGAGAATCAAACTCATTCAAAATCAAATCTTCAATTCAGAACACGCGAATTCTATATATCGAAAATAAAATGCCCTTTTACTAATAGTCTAAGCAGCATCATAAATACGCTATAAACGCCATTGCACAATCAAATGAATGTATAAAAGTTAATTGTAAAGGAAAAAAAAATTTATGGCTTCAACGGTTTATATTCAATATTATGAAACACATGTTGCACAGAACCTCATAATTCTCAAAGAAGAAGAGATGCTTGTGTATTTTGATGTGCATATAGATATAATAGTATTTAATACTAGCAAAGGTATCAAGTTTCCATGAAACATGGATATTCCGTGAAAATAAAAAACAAAATACGGATAAGGATGATAAATTGCAGATACATATAAGTCAAAGATATTTAATTCTCTCCTAACAAAATGGTAAACAACTCCCAAATGAGAGTCGTCCAATTGAAACATGATAAACAACTTCATGTTCTTTTGAAAATACTTTTTCCCAATCAAGAACATTATGCAAAGTGACATGAAAGTATGAAACCAAAGAGAAATCACTGAGGATCTATAGGTTACAACTCCAGTCAATTCATGGAGGTGCCGAGAATCAAGCATCATGGAAAAAAGAAAGAGATGGTAGACAAAAAGAAATATAAATAAAGAGAAATAGATCAACATAATCACTCCAATTTGATCCAAAATAGTAACTTGACTACTCAAATCTGATCTAAAATAATCCGATAGAATGATTATTTTGAATCAATTTGAAGAGCCAAGGGAATAAATTGAATGCATTTATATTCTGGAAATAGTCCAGAACATATTTTGATTTTTTTTCTACAAATTAAAAAAAAACAATAACAGAAAGAAAAGAAATATAGGTTCTGTTGACTTTAATCTTTCAGCAGATGTAAGATCAAACTGAAGCCTACATGCATTCCATCCGTTCTCATGTATGTTATCAATCCAGCAGACTCTTTATCTGATAGCTTGATCCCTTCATACAATTGCTGTGCTAGCTGCATTTGCATTAAATAAAAAATGGTTAGTAGGAACAACAGCTCAGCAGAGTAACAATGCATTGATGAAGCGGGCTTCATCAGAAAAGATAGATACAGCTCCTATAATAACTACACTACTTTGAAAACATTGTGGCAGCAATCGATACAAGACGGTTCTGATTAGTAGTACAGTAATATGATTAAACGAATAATATTAAGCATCCCGAACTTGTAAGAGTATAAAAGAAAAACATGCCTAAATCAAGCTGGATGGAAAATTGTTAGACAAACTAAATGCAATGAGAATGATACAGATTAAGGGCAACAGATGCCATGAATAACATAATAGTATTTTGCAATTCCCTAGACTTATGAACTAGCAAGAATAGGTCAATTATTAATTAGTTATTATCCATCAAACAAGTTGCTTTCCAAACAAAGTGCTAATACAGGGTCATTTGTATAGAATTATGCAAGAGTTGGCATGGTGATATAAACATCCAGGTGACAATGGCAACAACAGCATACCGAAAAGAGTAGAAGCTAAGGAGGAGAGAAAACATATATTTGAATGTAGTTGGAAGACAAGTTAAGATTAAAAAAATCTTGAACCAACATATTTTAATTAGAAAGTGTTCAAATCAATCAGATACAAAAGAACATTAATGGCAAACCATCAACAGAATTTCAAAGTTGTTCTTGTCAATTGACATGATTCTCATGTCATGTTTGTGTCATTTTCTTTTATTAGGGCTAGTTTGTTATTTTCTAATTTTCTCAATCCCATCTCTTAAGACTAGTTTGGTGTTTTCTACTTTTCCCAATCCCATCCCTTATTTTCTTCATCAGCCCTCCATTCAAATATTAACTTCACCATGTGTTCTTAATGGTGTTTTAAATCTTTTCACACAATCCATTTTACAAGCCCAAAGGACCTCATCTTTAATTCAAACCACATTACCTCAAAACTCCACCCCATGTTACTCTTTTTCATCATAGCCTTCTTCAGTTCAACTTTCAACTGTATGGCCATCTTAATATTTGAGTTGCCAAGAAGCATAACTTCATTTCAAGCCTCTTTATCCACAACTAAGGATATCACAACAACAATATTATTACATCATATGCAGTATAGTACCTCCAGGAATTTCTTTTTAAAAGACAACCTTATCAGAAGACCACCGTTGATGCATTTAGATTTTTGCATTATTTTTGTTTTGAACAATATTAGTTATATTTTCTAGTTTTTGTTTTATTTTTAAGATATCCAATGATGGTGGTAAATCCAATGATCATGGTGGAAAAAGGTTTGGGTTATGCTTACCTTGGGTTTGCTGGCTTTGGGGTCCACCTTGTCCTTTGGGGTGTTTGCTGGTTTCAAGAGAGCCTTGGCTGTTTTTGGTTTGAGCTTTAGTTGTTGAAATTCTAGTGGTGCCAGCTCATTATTATCAAGTGGAGGTGTAGCTCATTATGAGCTAATGTTTAGTTCTGAAATTTAAAGTAAGGGAGCTAGATTTGGTGAGTGGAACTTGTTCTTTCATATTTTATTTGAATTTAGGTTGCTGCAGTTTTTTCTCTGGATTTCTCTCCCACGGTTTGCTGTTGTTGTTGCCCCCTCGGTTCTCTGCCCCTTTATTGCCATGACTTCCCCCTTTTCTCCCGTGAAATGTGTAGTTGCTGGACCCGATATTTGGCTCCTGGTTTCCTGTGCTGGAGCCGTGGCTTTCCTTGTGAACTGCTGTGCCGTTTGGAATTTCTGTACAAAAATCTGATGGGTTCCGTGAATTTACCTGGTTCCATGGCCTTGCTCTGCTTGGAAATTGCTGTGACTCTTGGGATTTCAGCAAGGTGACTTTTGGCCTTTCATTTCTATTATTTTTATATGGGGATTTGAAGGGTTTTTGGGCTGTTAAGTTTCCCCTCTATTGCCTATATATATGAGATGCTTTGAGATGAAATAGTTGGTGAATATTGAGAGCAAATTGCTATAACCTGAGGGTTTCTTTGGAAAAAGCTTGAGAGCTTTGTTCCATTTCTTCTTCTACTTCTATGGAAATCCTGCGGGCTCTTTCCACCCTTCTTCTTGGCTTCTAACCTCTTTCTTCTCTACGCAAGTTCCACTCCACCTGTATCTTTTTTCTAGTTCCGTTGGTAAAGTTGTTGGCTGTTTTGGTGAAGTTGTTGGCTGTTCTGGTGAAGTTATTGGCTGTTTTGGTGGCATTTGCTAGAGGAGTTTGGTAGGACATTGGAACCCCTTTGCAGTGCTGGACCCTTGGTTTGCATATCTAAACCTTATTTTAATATATATTCCTACAACCGATGCATGTGAGGAGTCCTCTTGTAGGATATTCTGAGGATAGCGTTTTTTTTTTTAATTTTGTTTCGTTTCTTTTGCTAACTTCTTTTGTTGGGTTTGTTGGATGATTGGTTTTTTTCTTCTAATCTTAATTTAGTTGTTTTATTTAGCCTATTTTGTTCTCCAAGTGGTGTCATAAATTTTTAAATGTGTGTCTTGATTCTTTTGTTGTTCTCTCTTTGCGTTTTGCTTTAAGTTGCTTACATCAATCGTGCTTTGAACCTCAGCTCAACCAGATTGACACATTTTTCACCACTTTTGTCTGCGATGCATGATGTGATACAAGCTTGGAGTTACACAAGATTATAAAGAGAATTTACTAAAAGTTTAACCTTTATAAATTATGCATCAATTCCAAGTTAGTTACAAGAATTCTCAATATTCCACTTGCTTAGGCAAAGAGTTATATGAAGATTAACCAAGACAATTTAATCAAATACAAAGGCGAAGTAATGTAAGAGCTTAACACACAAATCCAAAAGTTAATAAGGAGTTGTTCACCTTGAGAATCTACTCTCTTCCCAACGAATCTAGGTTGAGCGGAGGAAGATCGTCCACGCTAGAAATGAGGTAGCCACTAGGACGGACGAGCTGAGAAACGACGTTGTTGGGAAGGTAGTCGGAGGTGGAGGTGGCATGGGTGGATGACCGTTGATGGTCCACTTGTATTCCGAGAATTGATCGTCGATGACGTCCACGAGGGTTGGGAGGATTCGGTTTAAGTAATCTTCAACAGTGTCGTCAAAACAAAACCCGACGTCGAAGAATGGTGATCGAACGATGTGGATGTCTCCGTAGATGTCGAACACGAATCCGTGGTCAACTTCGGGATCCGCCATTCATGACTATGAATTGCTCTTGCGGATGAGTTTGGTGGTAGAATAGTCTTCTCTTGGTGGAGCTCGACAAAACAAAGAGGAGAAGAAGAGGTGTGGTGCCAGCTTAGGGGGGAAGAGGTTTGGTCCGGCGTGAGAACTGGAGAGGGACGGCTATAGTGGGGAGGCTAGGAAATAAATTCAGGAAATCTGAAATTATTTTCGGTTTAAGTGAGTAGGAGGGAATTAATTTGAAAATTTCAAATTAATCCCAAAAAGGGAAGGATGGGGCGGTAATGGGAGAGGATTTTGGGGTTGATTTTGTGGAGATTGGGAATTAATTCGGGAGAGAGAAAGCCAAGGAAAGGGGGGTGGCCAAGCATAGAGAGAGAGAAGAAGAATTAAAATTAAATAGGTGGGGCCCACATGACTAAACAAGGATTCGAAGAAAATCTGAAATAAATTTCACATTTTGATAATAGGAAAGTTTCCTAATAGGAGGGCTATCAATTAGGACTAATTTGAATTTCAAATTCAAATTGAACTCCAATTAATATGATAGCCTAAAATTAAGGAGTTATTTTAGGAAAGTAGAAAGGGCCTCATGGGAAAATTTGAAATTCAAATCCTTGACCCAAGAGGGGCCGGCGGCAAGCCTGGATGGCTGCAAGTGGTCGGCGGCCGGGACTCTTGGCCGACGGTGGGGGTGCAGCCGGGTATGTGGGGAGGGTCGGCAGGATGGGGTTTTGGGGGGGAGAATTGTGAGGGGAAAATCAAGGGGAGAGTGCCACGGATCTTGGGAAGAGGAAAAAAGGAAATTCAAAGCACACAAACCTCAACTCGTTCTCTACTAGAACTCACAAAGAGATCTAAGACGCTCTCTCCTCAAGAACTCACAAAAAGATCAAGAAGAGTTTTGGAACTCACAAAGAGAACAATAAAATAACTTTTCATTCATCAAAATTATCCTCATACATAATAAGATAGTCATATATATAGGCTTCCAAATGACAACTAACACAAAAGACTAGAATGCACCTTGGGCTACAATAGCGACTAACTACCCATAAGGGCAAAAACGGAAAAACTGAAATAGAATGTTTAATACATAAAATGCTAATACAGATAAGCATCAAAAGTTAAGACTCTCCATCATGGCCATCGATCTCCTGTGTCGTCTCTGACAAGCGCGTCGAAATCTCTTGTCGATGTCCCCATCAATACATCTACAGGCAAGCTTCATATCATCTTTGTGCGGTGGAAAAATAATAGAAGTTTCACTAAGATCCTAAAGGAGGTTAAGCAAAGAATATCAAAAAGTCAATATCCTCAAATAATTTTCGCTTACACTAAAATTTACATCAACAACTACAGTTCCTAGTTTATGACAAATCCGACCATGCCCTAAAACAATAAAGGCTACTTGGGTAAAATATTTTTTGATTGTAATCAACTCAAAAGGTCAAACAATTCAAATTAAAATATTTAAAATATCTTAATATAGTACTTCATGGATAAACAAAAGTAAACTGACCTTCATTGTATATGCAGTTGTAAAATGCAATTTGTTTGCCGAATCTTGCTGAAGCGTTGATGTAATATAAGGCATTGGAGGATTTCTCTGAACTTTGCTTCTTTTCACATCTATCACTTCAAATTTAGAAGAATTAACCTTCTTTTGTATGGCCTCTGCTTCTTCCTTAGATATAATTGAAAGCCGGTCTAACCTTTTAGAGTTAATGTGGGTCAAATTGGAAGATATTGTAGATCTCCCTAAGGTATCTGAAAAAGTACCACTGAATTCAGCTCCTACAGTCCAATACTCCTGTGGTTTAAATTGTTCAATTTCTGTTTCTCTGTTGCAAATTAGAGCCAAAGCTGCAGATTGGACTCGTCCAGCAGACTGGCAACCAGGCAACTTGCGCCATAGTAAAGGGGATATGCTAAATCCAATCAGATAATCAAGAGCACGCCGGGCAAGATAAGCATTGACCAAGTTTGAGTCAATCTCTCTAGGAGCCTGTAAAGCACTTTTTATGGAAGACTCGGTTATTTCATGAAATACAACCCTGGACACATTAATGTTCTCATTTAAGGCATCTTGCAGCTGCAACATCTCAATGATATGCCAAGCAATTGCTTCTCCTTCACGGTCAGGATCGGATGCTAATATCAAATTTTCTGCACTGAGATATGGACAGCAAAATTGTAAACTAATATCACCTAAATAAGAAATCTTCTACTTAAGAAAAGAAAAAAAAGTTACGCTTCCGTAATAAAAATTAAATAATATAAAATATAAAACATACGAAAAAGATCATATAGAATATCATTCAAGCTGCCTTCATCTTTCAGTTAACAAGAACAAACACATAAATTTGCACAAACTTAAGCTTTTTGAGCATATAGTCCATTTTTCATGTCAAAATTATGAGCAATGTAGTTCTAGAACAGCATAAGGGATCAAAGGAAGAAAATATTACCTTGATATTATTGAATAAATTAGGAAATTTACTTGGGATGATTTTTTTCTTAAGAAAGTAAAGGAATATCACAAAGACGAATGAATGGATATTAATGTGATTTTTACTGAACTTGAGCACAGAGACCTCCAAGGCTACATCCAAAGATAAAGGAGCGATAAGGAAGCAAATTTCAAGTCCAATGTTATCGTTCAAGGCAATGGTCAACCATAACAGGGAGGATGAAGTATTTATCCTCTTTCAAATAGCATAAAGAGGCTTGATTATCCTCCTTTCAAGGAAAATCAAGGGATAATTAGTCTTTTAGCCAATTTATTCTCATTATAAAAGAGAGAATTTTATATATAAACACCTAACTGGCACTGGGTTGAATTTAATCCAATTTAGTGAATCGAAAAAGAATTTCTCTCGACATCCTCTCTGTTTTCCTCTTCAAAATTTTGTTCAAACGCTTATCTCTTTCTAGCTTAACCTAACCTCTATCTCTCTCTTCTTGACTCTATCTCTCACTCCACAGAAGACCATTAGAAGGGAATTACTTGGAGCAAAGAGACTATAAAGTAATCAAGGAGAAGTCAATTCAGAAAAAGATCAAATGGCTTCAACCAAGGAGATGCCCTTGAGGTTTGGAAAGGCTTCATGCTTTAGATTTATTTACAACTTTAATCAAGTATCTCTCCTTTAAGCACATCTTGAATTCCAACCATACCACTCGCATATCAATTGAACCAGTTCATCAGAAAAGTAGACCCTAGCCTCGTTATCTTGACATCATGGTCCAACATCAACTCAACTCCACAAGAATCATATTTTAATCTTTCAAATTTATTCAATGTTTTATGAATAAAGGGTAGATGCATCTTAGTTCTTGAAACATACATTATATAATTCTAAGAAGGTTCAACAATAAGCACCCATCAATCTAGGATCAACTGTTTTGAGAACATAGATTCTTAATTGTAGATTGTGGAACTTTAAAATGGCAAAATGATAGTGGCATGCCTGAAGCCTACAAAGGCAATTGTACCTAACACTACACAAAGAGAAGCCCAAACGGTTGACTAGGGGGGTTTAGAAAGTATCATAAACAAACTAAAATCATAAACTAACCTCGCTAAGAAGATGACTCTATTAAGAACAACCCTTACAAATTTCAAATATGGAAATATGAGATTTTCAATTGCCCTTGGGGCAGTATGCGTATGGAGTGTCGAGATTTCCTTCTATAGTTGAGGGATCAGGATTCTCATGGATTCCAATCTTGGGTTTTGTAAATTCCCGGTCTTAAGTCTCAGGACGTGGGTGTTGGCATTAAAAAGTAAAGCTAGGAAGGTCTCAATTTCATTTACATTCTTCCTTGACAGTTATAAAAAAAGTTGTTCATTTAGGGCTTTGACTATTCCAATTATGAATATCTCTATCATTCCGCATATATCCCCTCAAATTATATGATTATTGAAGAATTTATTAGACTTGATGGTGCATGTGAAAAGAAAAAAAAATCCTTTGTGTGAGATAATCTCTGTGAAGTGAAACTATTGGGCTTCTTCTTCATGTGTGAATGTGATGTAGACAAAGGGGGGGTCAACTCATGTCCAAAATAAATTAATTTTGGCCTCCCTCGAGTTTACAAGCTCAATCAAAATTGAGCTAAAATTTTAGCTCATTTATGAGTTGGTCTTTAGTTCACTTATTGAACTAAGGATTAGCTCATTATTAGCTAACATTTTAGTTCATAGTTATCTTTTATTAAATGTACTTTTTATTATTTTTATGTCTTTAATTATGTTTGTCCCTTGGAATTCCAAGAAGTGTTGTTTCCCATGTGTGGCTCCTTGGCTTCCACCATGGGCTATTGTTTTTTGTGCCTTTGCCCCTTGGATTTCCGGCCGGCTGCTGGTTTTCCGAGCCTGGGTGTTTTCCCGTGGCTGTGGCGCCTTGGTTCCATGCGGCCTCCTTGGCTCCCGCGGCTGCTCCTTCGGTTCCTGGGCTTGGGTGGTTTTCCGTGAATGCATGGGAGGGAGTTTCCATGCTAAGTGATGTTTAGAATTCCTGTGTGAATTCATTGTTGTGTCCTTTTGTATTCCCCTTTCATACCTATATATATGAGGGGCTTGTAATGTTTTAAAAATAGTGAATGATATGTGATTTTTGGAATCTAACCTGCGGATTATTGGAAAAGCTTGCGAGCTTTGTCCGTCTTCTTTCTCATCCCCTACGGAAATCTTGCGAGCTCTTTCTAACCTTTCGTTTCGGCTTCTAATCTCTTTCGTCTCTCCGCAAGTGTCACTCCATCTGTATCTTTCGTCTCTAAGTAAAGCAACTTTAGGGTGTCTTTGATTTCGAGTCAAGATTGTAAGTCGTTGTAATTTTATTTTATTTTTTAATTTCTAAGTCGGTCTTAGATTTGAAATGTAAGAATTTGTTTTTCCTCATCTTATTCATCATCATTCGTGATTTAGTGGGTTGTCGTCGGTTCAAGGTGACACAAATCTCCCGTGTGGGCGAGGGGTATAGGCTCCCTATATTTCTTGCCCCCACCAAAATGTACTTTGGCATTGAAAAAGAGCTAGTTAGTCATTTTGATTTGTATACCATGAATGCAACTTCTTCTTTAATGATGTTGATCACCTCTCTTTTCCTGTAAGTGTAGGCTTGTCGAAATTGAATTATATAAAGAATAGTTCATAATGGTTTCTTCTTCTCTTTTTCTTGTGTTTTTTCTTCAAGCACGTCATTTCAATCCCGATAAGGTTTTTGATGAGGACATCGTCAGCATTTTCGACGCCAGAGATCGACGGCCACGAGCATGACTTGTATTTTGTCATTTTATGTAGTAGCGTATTTTATTTTGATGTTTTTCCGCTTTTGCCCTTATGGGCATTTAGTCGCTTATGTAGCCCGGAAGGGCATTTGTGTCATTTCTTGTTTTTTT